TCAGAGACGAAGTTTCACACCCATACAGAACCACAGGCAAAATGATAGTTTTGTATATTATAATTTTTATGTTTTTGGACAGCAGACGAGAAGACGAAAGGTTCTGGACTGAATGGTAGCAAGCATTACCCGAGTTCAGGTTTATTAATGAATATATATATTCGCAACGAAAAGTTAAGATCTATAGTCTCTTAAACAGATCTCTACAGGAATTATGGGATTTGACACCCATCATGATTCTAACAATTTTCTTTTGCAATGTAAATACCTTGTTACTGTCAGATGAATTACCACAGAAAATTATTCCATACTTCATTAAAGAATGAAAGTAAGCAAAATAGATTGATTTGAGAGTGTCAATGTTACTAATATGTAACATGAATCTAACTGCATAACATGCTCTACTTAGCTTTGGAATTAACTGATCAATATGGGTTTTCCAGTTTAAATGATTATCAATTTGCAAGCCAAGGAATTTTGTGTTTACTCCCTCTTCTATATATTTATCATTATATCCTATGTTTAATGGATATTGTGATGAGTTTTTATGTTGTAAATTTTATTACATTTGTTTGTTCTAGGCTCAGGGACAGCTTGTTTGCAGAAAGCCATTTACTGATTTGCAAAAGAACCTGCTTGATAACATACAGATATCATCTAAATTTTTACCAGACATTATAACACTAGCGTCATCTGCAAATATTATAGGTATTGATGAGGTCCTTAGTATAGGAGGGATGTTGTTAATATAAATTATGAAGAGCAAAGGCCCCAAAATTGACCCCTGTGGAACTCCATGTTTTATTATTCCCCAGTTTGAGCAGGTACTTTGGATTGAATTTGATGATTTTATTTCAATCTTTTGTTTTCTATCTTTTAGGTAGGATCTGAACCAACTTAACGCTGTTCCTTGAATGCCAAAAAAGTAATTTAGTTAATAAAATTTCACGATTTACACAGTCAAAAGCCTTTTCCAAGTCACAGAATATTCCACCAACATGCATTTTTTTATTAATAGATTTCAACACCCTGTCTCTTAACTTAAAGGCTGCATTTTCAATGGAAATTCCTTTCTTAAAGCCAAACTTTTCTGGGACTAGTATATTATTACTCTGAAGATAATGGCTTAACCTATTGTGCCTCTCCACTGAGGTGGATATTAATAGAACTTGGGAAACTATTAGAGAGAATATAAAATTTTCTGCCAAAGAGAGTCTAGGTTGTTATGAATTGAAGAGTCATAAGCCATGGTTTGTTGAAGGATGCTCAGAATTATTAGGCCAAAGGAAACAAGCCAAATTGCAGTGGTTACAGGATCCAAGCAAAATAAATTGGTATAATCTGAAGAATATAAGACGTGAAACCAGCAGGCATTTCAGGAATTAAAAAAGAGGGAATATCTGAAAGACAAAATTGATGAGCTTGCAATGAACAGTAAGAACAAGAACATCAGAGACCTGTATAGAGGAATAAATGACTTTAAGAGGGGTTACCAGCCTAGCAGTAACTTAGTGAAGGATGAGAATGGTGATCTGCTTGCAGATTCCCACAACATTTTGAATAGGTGGAAGAACTACTTCTGTCAGTTACTGTATGTACATAGGGTCAGTGATGTTAGGCAGATAGAAATACATACAGCTGAGCCATTAGTACCTGATCCTAGCCCCTTTGAGGTTGAAATTGCTATTGCAAAGTTGAAAAGTTGTAAATCGCCAGGCAGTGATCAAATTCCGGCTGAACTGATTTAAGCAGTAGGTGAAATATTGTGTTCTAAGGTCCATAAGCTAATTAATTCTATTTGGAATAAGAAAGAACTGCCTGATGAGTGGAAAGAGTCTATTATTGTACCAGTTCACAAGAAGGGCAATAAAACTGAGTGTAGTGATTGTTGTGGGACATCATTGCTATCAACTTCATACAAAGTTTTATTCAATATCAGATTGTCTTCTCATCTGCTGTATAAAATTGTAAAAATTAGAATATACAAAACTGTAATTTTGCTTATGGTTCTGTATGGGTGTTAAACTTGGTCTCTGATATTAAGGGAGGAACATAGATTGAGGGTGTTTGAAAACAGGGTGCTGAGAAGAAATTTGTACCAAAAAGGGAGTGACAATTGGGTGCAGAAAACTGCATAATGAGGAGCTTCATAACTTGTACTCTCCAAGTATAATTAAAAAGATCTATTCAAGTAGGATGAGATGGGCAGGGCATGTAACATGAATGGAGGTGAAGAGGAATGCATATGGGATGCTGATGGGAAAAGCCAGAAGGAAAGAGACCACTAGGAAGAATAAGACAAAGGTGGGTGGATAATATTGAAATGGATCTTAGATAGGATTGGGTGGTATGAACTGGGTTGATCTGGCTCAGGCATATATACCTATGAGCTCTTTCTGACTGGTCTTAGGATTATGTGTGTGACACTGGATTATACATTAAGTGATCGATGCAAATCTTGTACATGAATGAGCCAGCTGTTCATGTATGAAAACATGTCAGCCAATTATTGAAACATTCTCTTGTTTGTAGAATTGTTGTAGAATGTATAGCACATGTCATTTCTGTGGTAAACTATAATTGACTTTATGACACCCAGAATTGATGTTTCTAGCTCGCTAGTATTGCAAAACCCCACTACAATACCACTTAAGGTTACAGGTATAGAATAATTATGGTTATTCAGTCAAAGTGACTTCTCTTAAGTGGAATGTTGGAACTAGAAAGGAGTTCCATTTGATCATCTTAAAGTATTCAAACAAAACCTTCATAATTATCTCATAATAAGTTTCCAGACTATATTTTTCAAGTGTATGTTTTGCATGTGTGTAAAATAAAGGCACTTAGAATGTTAATTAAAAAAGTATCATATTTTATGATATCAGAATCTTTCATATCAGTCACAGTTATTGACACATGAATTAGAAAGCTGAAGTAATGTTTAATTTATATTTACTCGTAGATGGAAGCTGTTTCCCTCATCACACAGTCCCTCAAGGCTGATGTCACCAAAGAAGGAAGTAGTATGTGTCAAATAAAAACTCTCAGAGATGTTCTTCTTGATGCAGATATAACAGAATTCCTTTGTGAAGCCATGGCAACTGTGCACAGTCATTTGTTGGAGTATGTACCATAAATTAATAACATTTGTGTAAATCAAATGTATACCATATTTCTTATTTGAGAACTTATTTTGAAAGTGGGTATTACAAATTCGTGATGGCTTGTCTGCCATTTTTATAAAAATGGGGATTACCAGTTAAAATGACAGTGTTATGTTTTACGAATATATGGGACTATTTACGCAGCAAAAAAATATGGTACTTGTTATTGAGGTCACATCCTGTTCACATCCATCAGTGTTACAGAGGTAAAATGTCACTCTCAAGACATATGCTGAAACTCCATTATTTGAGTTTCCTAAGAATGGAGAGACTGATATTCAGATAAAATGTTAATCATCATTTTCTTAAAATAGTATCCTTTTTGATATTTCTAAAGGTTTTAAAAGACTAAGCATTTGGAAGGTTATTCTGACCATCTGGTTTTATCCAAGCCTGAATTCAAAGACTGTAGTATCGTGAATGATATGGTATTGTGAGTTGTAATACCACACAGTTAGAAGAAAGCCTGATGTTTTGGAGGAATGTTTGGTTTTATCCAAACTACGTGGTGTTGAAATCCAAGAGTATCTTCTTTGTTGCCACTGCTGTCAAATCCAACTTCAAATCAGCAAAGAAAATTGGAACATTTTAAATTTCCATATATTGTTCAGTCAGAATTAAAATGACAAACTTAGGAGCAGATCAAATTCAGGGAATGTTTTCAGCCATTCAGTTTACAATCTCTCCATTTCCAGTGTAAATGCCAAAGATTAAAACGAACTATAATTTTACTGTTGTTTTGTATTTGTATGAAACCTGGGCTCTTACACGAGAGAAAGATAAAAGTATTAAGGGGAATGTTTGAACCTCAGTTGGAGAATCTAATAGTAGGATGGAGAAATTACACTTTATAAAAGATTTATAAAATCACATTAGGTCAATCAACTGAAGGAAGTTGAGAGAGCTGGACATGTCCTATGCAAGTAAGCAGGGAAGGGATGAGAAATGCACACAGAATTTTAGTGAGAAAACCTAAAGGGAAGAAACCAACCACTTGAGAGATATAGGAGTAGACAAGAGGGTAATAATAAAAGCTTCCTGAGTAAATTAGATGTGAGTGTGTGAACTGTATTCAAATGGCTCAGGATAGGGTCAAATGGTGGTCTTTTGTGAATAATGTAATGGACCCTCCTGTTTCATAATATGCAGGAAATTTCTTGACCACCTGAGGGACAATTGTTGCACAAGAAGGACCTCTTTCTTATGCTAATTATTTTATGGTTCATGAATGACATGCATGCTTACCTAAATTTATGTTGCAGAGCAATATTTGCGTGTTTAGAGCATCTAGCAAAGAGCAAGAAGTTTTATAACAACAGCCATGTTCTTTATGTTGTTGAATGCCTGATAAGAGCTATCCATTTCCTCACTAAGCAACATAACTCCTTTCACATACTGAACAGAGCGCTAACATTACTTGCTGGACTATTGAAAGGGTAAGAAACTCAAATCCTAACCACAGTTAATATAAAATGAAACTTGTAATTTGATCTTTATACATAGCCATAGCCACAGTGAGCTGCTACAGGTGTCTATCTTTCATTGCTATTGTGTAGTAGATTCATTAACCATGGAATGGCATGATCACCATTTCTGTGTATCATAGATCTACCCCTGTGATTTCCATGTATGATCAATGGAAGCATGGAACCTTCCATTCTCGTAGATTTATTGCTGCTTGGTCGTTTAGTAATGCTGCATAAACTGCAGGTGTTGCTTTTGAATGATAAATCAGGAGGTAGCAGCTATAACCTGCTTCAAGGTACTAGCCTTGGAATTTGTCTGAAGGCACCGAGGAGAGCCACAATGCCTTCTCCCAGTCAGGTGCTTCAGCAGAAATTTGAAGTCTATATGATGGTTTATTTGGTTATTCTTGCTTCATTTTAGGAATTGGGATAGTCAGCATAGCTATGGGCCATGGGCTTGGATAGCCTGGGTTTGATTCCCAGCAGGGCAAGATTTTTGTCCTCTCCACAGTATCCAGACCAGCTCTGGGTCCCATCCAACCTCCTATAAAATGGATACTGGGGGCTATTTCCCCTGGGGTAAAGCGGCTGGGGTGTGAAGCTGACCACTGACCTCCATCTAGTGCTTAAGTCAAGAATGGTGGAACTATACCTCTACTCCCCAATATGTCTTCACAACATAGTGATTAATTAAACAAAGGGAAAACATTACCTTACCTTTTACCTTCTGGTTCATTTAACAGTGTTTTTGGTTTTCCAAAATTGTTCACTGCCCGTTGGTGGAATAAGTAGTGAATAATGACTTTGGTAGGATATGGAAGGTTACAGTTATGGCCTGCTTGAAGTTAGGGTCTCAGCATTTGCTTGGAGGGGTAAGGAAAACCATAAAAACCTCAGTCATGATAGCAGGTCATTGGGCCAGGCTCCCAGGGCTACTTGAACACAAAGCATGAATGCTAACCACTTGACTGCAACATTTGATGCTCTATACCTAATGCAAGTCAACTTTGATAATTCTGTACTACATGGCTCAGTGTGCATTCTTATTATATATATCCATATGAGACTTATGGGCCAATCATGGTGGGCATGTAGTCTAAGGCATGAACTGTCTTCAGCCAATTTAACGCTGGGTTCATGGGTTTGAATCCCACTCAAGGCATGGATGTCTGTATGCATTTATTTCGTATTTGTGTTGTTCTGTGTGTAGGTAGCGGCCTTGTGATGGGCTGATCCCCTGTCCAAGGAGTCCTACTGACTGTGTATAGGATTACGAAACTGAAGAAATGGCCAAGGTCCAAAGGGCTGTAGAGCCATAGAGAGAAAAAATAAAGACTTATGTTTACTTAAACATTGTTTTGTAATTAAATCAAATTATGTTTTCTTTTACCACACATATATTTTATACTCATTGTCAGCTTTATATGGAGAGAAGAATACTTTCTTTTGTGATAAGATTCCATGTTGTCTGGTAGAAATTTACTGATATTTGGAGGAGATGCTTACTGCCTCCATCATCAGGGATGAAGAGGAACCTATGCAGATGGAGGCAGTACACTCCTCTGAAATGTCAATAAAATTCTATCAGATTAGACTATGTCACATCCCAGAAGATTAGTACTCTTTGTAGTCATTACCATGAGATCTTAAATGTAACGTTTCACCTAGTAATTTTTAATCATGTTTTAATTATGTAGATGTCTGCATAAACTTGGATGGTTTCCTTGGATATGGAATGGCAAAGAATTGTCACATGTTCACTCAGAACTAATAAGCATCAGTTATGATAAGGTAGCATTCTTGAAGCTTGCTCTTTAGGTGTTTGGAATTTTATTCTTGAAATTATTGTCTGCATGAAGTAGCCTTATTCATTGTGATTATGAGTCAAGTTACTTGCAGCCACCTTTTATAGACATAATTGATGTTCAGGATAGGGTCCAATGGTGAACTTTTGTGGTAAGGTTCTGTAAAAACAGGAAAGTTTTGAAAAATCAAATTTGAAGCTGATTAAATATATAAATTTGGCATCTGTTTATGTTCTGAAATGTGCTGCAAGTGTCCAGAGTCTGAAAAGGGGATGGTTGTCTTATTATAGGTTCATCAAATTTAATGGCTCTAAAGCATTGCAGATGGGTGCACTTAATGTGTGTCAAGTGCTTGAGATGACAAGGAGCGTTCTGAGTGACACGCACAATACTTGGAATGAAACAGTGATTTCTGTGAGTTGGGTACTCAGCAACCTTGTTGAAGGAAGGAACTTTGCTAGTCAGCTTGATATGACATCATTACAGTTGTTTGTCACTGTACTGGAGACTTGTATAGCAATGCTGTCTGCAATTGTCAAGAATCACAAAGTAAGAGACCAAAACGCAGAAAATACTAAAAGAGAAGCTGTTTTACTGATGAGTTGTATTACTCTGTCAGTGGCAAGGTAAATATTGTACAAACCCAGTTTGTGTTCCTAGTCCATTGAAAGTTACTGTAGAGAAAACTTTCTTCTTTAGTTGAAATACAAGTAGGCACTTTCAGGTGAAGGAAACAAAGGAAACACTTGCTGACTGAGAAACTTATACAATTTAAATCACTTAACAACTTAAGGAAAGCATAAGTAACACTGAACTTCATTACACCATTCTTAGGTGTTTTATTTCCAGGATATTAGTATGTAAAAGAGACAGACATGCATCTCTGAACGTTCTGTGGATCTTTTTGTTCGAGTTGTCAAAAAAGTCAGTGTTCAGTACAACACATTTAAAAATACCTATAATTCAGTAAGCAAAAAGGTACAAGGTAAAGTTGTTCTGTGCTTAGTTAATTAAGCACTACACCATGAACACATATGGGGGAGCGAATATATAGATACACATTTTCTTGATCTCAGCACTGCTGGAGGTGAATGGTGAGTTTCACGCTCTGGTCGCTTTACCCCCGGGGAAGAAGCCCCTGATACCCATTGGATAGTAGGCTGGGTGGTCCCCAGAGCCGGTTTGGATGATGTGGAGAAGAGAAAGTTCTTGACCCTAATGGGATTCAACTCTAACTCTTTTGTCATCCAGCCTATAGCCAGTCGCTATACTGACTGCGCTATCTGAGCTCCAGTTCAATAAGCCAAGCAACACATGTCTTAAGAAAAAAAGAATAAGAAAAAAAACACTACAGACTGTAATATATGCAGAGAATTTTTACGCCTAAATAGGTACTGGCAATTGTCCATGTACATTTAATTATTCACACATTGCATGAACTACAGACCTGTATATAACAGAATTAGGTAATATACTATAAATACTACAGTGCCTTAGATTAATAAATCTATGTACACAGAGAGAACTATATCAGGATTTATAATTAAGTTCTTGATTGCAGGCTATTAATCATGTATGAATGTATAAGGGGTGGGCCTTCTCGGCCCTTGCACTACGACCTACAGTGGTTTAGGGTATAATTCCATCAACAAAACTTGTATGATGATCTGTGTACCAAAATGATTTTTCTACATTCTTCTGTGTGTTTGTAGAATGACAGACTTTGTCATTTGTAAGAAACCAATATATTATATGCATTAAAAATGCTCTTCTCATCATTCTGCTTAATTAAATTAAGTAACCATCTCTTTAGTAGATATTGTTCAGAATCAACCATGTTGCTTCATCACATATCATTTTATACCATAGGAAACCGATCTCTGAATAATCTGAGCTATTTGCTGGACATATTTTATATGTCTGGAAAGATTCTCTGCTTTCATCTTGATGCTTTTCTTAACTGGGTGATTCAAAACTCAAACTTTTTAAAAACAACAAATGCAAGAGATATATAGGATAATGCTCAGGGGCGGCCCGTGTATAGGCGCTGCAGAACTACAGCACCCCCAATTTCCGCATGATATTATCGATAACATTTATATAATGAGTCCTTTTTTCTTTAATTCTTTCTTTATACTTGTACAATACAATATATAATCAGTAGCCAAATCTTTGTATGGAACTGTGCGCTTCTGGAGCAGCACCCCCACTAATTTTAGCTATGAGCCACCACTGATAATGCTTCCTGTGTTTAGGTACTTTTGAAATCCTGCAGTTGTGTACAGATACAGAATTAGATGTTTTATTATCTGTGCATTGACCATAAGTTTCAGCAAATATTGTCTTTTTTTTAAAGAATTGTGCTGAATCGAAATCTGCCTGTGAGATTACATGGCACCACAACGCAGGCCACATTCAGAAAACTTACTTCCATGAAAATTTCAATTCATAAATTTATGTTTTCTAAGAGAGTGACATTTATACACCTTTGATAACAAATTCGTTTTATTTATATTTAAGTGAAGGTTGGGGGATAATATTACATTTAGAACATATCTTTGAATGATGTGTTGTAGAAATGTGATCTGCATTGAGATGGCTGCCTCTGGAGTCCATTAGTGGGCCTTTGTGAACATGGTGATGAATATTTGGATTCCGTAAGAACAGTTTCTGACCAGTTCAGTGACTATTGTGGAAGACCCTGTACTATGAATTTTCGTTTTTTGGTATTTTACATTATGAGAAGTATATCTTCACACAACAAAATTTCCTTCACTTTCCTGTGTGAACGTTATATTTGTAGAAGTTATTCCTACATGTCTGTATCTTCTTGGGATCTCTAGTTTTCTTTTTTTTAAGGTAGACTTTATAAAAGTATGTTCTTAATAGAGAGACAATTTTTGCCATACTAAGTTGAAGATCTTGCAGTGTGGTCCACCATCTGAACAGAAGTTTGCATCTTGTTTATGCTACAGTGAATGCTGATGTATATATAAAAAGTGTTCAGGCAAACTTAGTTCATGTTTATTTACATCGTTTTCCAGATTGTGTTCAACTCTCTCATGCAGCAAAGGGTTGGAGAACAGATGTGATAAAATGACTGAAATGCAATATTTTCCACTCATTACTAAGTACACAAGGAAGATAATGGATGTATTGTTGGAATGCATCCAGGTTGTCAGTGCTCCTTATATACTGGTAAAATTTTATTTTATTTTTTATATGTATCTGAACTTTGTTTATGTCAGCATCTATTAGTTTCAGTTTTAGCAGAACACTGTAAGGTCATTACCATAATGTACTTACTGTCTTACAGAATGACAGTAAAAAAATTGATTGTTACAATAAAATGATTTGTGCAGAGCACAAATTATGTAATGTGAATGACCATTAAGCAGTTTTGTTTGCTGTCTCATAAAGCATCTTGTAAGACATGACTGTAAAAATAATTGATAATAATGAGAGTAACAGTTTTGGTGGGTGAATGATACATTCTCTTGAAGATTATAATAGAGACTGTGTAATCACAAAATGGAAGAATAGCAGTTTCCACCAACAATTTTTAAACACATGATGATGGCCAATGCCAATCAAAATATGTAGTGCAATGTACAGAAGCTTTTAAATGAGACACAGAATTACTTTGTTTTTGGACTTTTTCCATTGTCCGGAATTCTAGGTAATAGAGGATACTCTGGGTAATAGAGGACACTACATTTTGGAAACTGGATCTGTTTCCGTTAATTTTATTGTAAAGTCATGTTATTACCATTTATGTTAATTTCAGGTTACTGAAATATCTGATTATTTTATTAACGGATTTAAAGTGGGCTTTTGTATGTGGAAAATTAAGTAAAAAGCTAGTAAACTGAATTAATCTAAATCATACTTTTCCTCCATAGTTTGAAATAAGTTTGATGTATGACTTAGTTCCCAGAGCTTGATTTGTAGCAACAGGATGTGTCATGAGAGGCCACAGTTAGCATTTATTATATAAGTCCCCACAGCCCCTCCTCAAATGAAATGTAGCTCTGTCAAGGGGTCTTTATATGAAGGAGAATCAGTAAATAGGCTACAAATGGATATAAAATGTAAAATATGTGGTATTTGAACCTGGAAAAAACATTTATTTCTCAATGTATGCTCCACCAACATTTATACACTTGTCCCATCACTTTACCAGTTCGTCGAAACCAGCAGAATAGAAGTCTTTTGACTGTTGTCTCAGCCACTTCCACACCTCTGTTTCAACCTCTTCATCATCGGTGAAACGTTTGCCGCCAAGGTGACAATTTCTTGAACCAGTTGTGACCCACTATACATGACAAACACTTCCCACCATAAACAGGAAACCTTTCTTTATGAATATCCATTGCATTTTGTCCTTTTGCCCACAAAAGAATGCACAACAGAACTCTGCTCTTCAGTACACTCCTCAAGCACAGTCACCATTTTGACTACTGAAACCAGACTCTGAACATGAGCATGCGAGTCTGCTACCTAGACTCATGAAGCTGGTCTGTGCTGCTACCTAGTGATACACATAGAAAACCTATTACATCCACTACAGCTGTTTTACTTCATTCTTATCTATTTACTGACTCTCCCTTGTATTAAACTGTTAAATATGCATGTATATATCAATGTCAGGCTATGTAGAACATATTTCAACTACTGAATATGCTGGTATCTGCTGCATTGTATTGCTTTATGTATACAATTATGTAGAGGTGACACACAAAGGGCTACTTAGGAGATAAGGGTTGGCACACATATTCCTAGCAACATAACATATTGTAACATGTTGCGCAACGGAGAACCCCTCCCTACCCAGCAGCAACGTGGCAACTCAGGCCACAGGCGCGTGGTGGTAACGAAGCGCTCGCATAATAGGCGAGTAATCACCCCGCATCCTGGTAGCTCTGCAACGTGCAACAGCGGTGACGTCACCGAGGGATATTGCGGTTGCTAGGCAGCAGTCAACAACTCCGGACAGCGTGGCTAGCAACACGGCACCAGACGACAATTGTCCGATCAAGGCTACATAAGGAGCAGCGAAGGCTATTCACAGTCAGTTAGTCCTGGAGCTACCTACGAGTCAGTGAGTCCTGGAGCTACCGCTGAGTCAGTCCTCGAGCTACCTCCGAATTAGTTCCGAGTTAGCCAGCAACCAGTCAGTTGTATTCTGGCATTTGGAGTGTACTAATTGTGATACTGCAGATAGCAGTAATCGTAAATGTGTAATTTGGGTGATTGTAAGTGCGAATGTGAAATAAAATTCGCTATATAAAATACGGCGTGAAGTTATTTGTCGCGATATATGCCCGATACGCGACAATATATTTTATTCATACTTAAAACTTTTTCATCAAACATGATAGGGGATTATACTTTCATGAAAATAAATTCAGTATCAGCTATCGTACATCTGCTGCATGATGAACATGGGGCATTTTGTCTTCAAGGCATACGAAGTCCAATATTATGAGGTTGTATTTACTGACCATTTAGAATACTGATTTGAAGTTAGTGTTACACCTTGAAGAAATACATTTGAAATATGTTAACGTTAATTTATTTTCATAGAAGACTGTACTAGTTAATTTTTCTCACTTTGCTTGTAAATATTTTTCTGCTCTGTTATTTTCAGGAAATAGATATGGATATATCAAATATGGAGTTGTTTTGCCAGTTCTTATGCAGTCTAAAATTGATATACTGTGAGCCTGTGAAGGAGCTGGATACTTTCCAGTTATCACATCGCCTTGGAGAACTGGGATATCTGACATTCTTGCCTGTGATATCAAGTTGGAGTGCTCACAAGTAAGTTTACCTTAAATTTCCCATATTGAATTATTACTTTTTACACAGATGATACAGTTCTGATAGCCATAATAAGGCAATTTATTTGCCTTCTTCAGGTGTAAAGATGGAAGTTCACTGAATTCTATATGCACATCTCTTTTGGGAGAGCTGCTGTCTTCTATGTCAGCCAGTATACTGAATGTAGAAGATCTCTGGCCTGGTGGTTTAGCTGCTTTCCATAACCATCTGCAAACTGGTTTGGGATTCCTTCCGGTTGAGTGTTCATACTGGTTGCAGGCTCTGTATAATCAAGATGTGCCTCACTCCCTCCAACATGCAGTCATCATATTCACTTATTTCCTGTGCCTATGTGCTTCAAGGTAGGAATTATTACATTATTTTACAAAATAAATCCAGTGTTTAGTTTAGATTATTATAATAACAGGAACTTCTTGAAAGAAATTATGATGCCTACTCTGTCTAAATTCTATCATCTGTATTGTCAGATCATCATCATCATCAGTAATCTGTCAGACGACAGGTCCACAGTCTCTTCCAAAACAGTTTCTCCACTTAATGCGATCTTCTGTTTTTGGAAAGAGACTATCCAGGAAAAGTGATAATGTGGTAGTTTATCCATTTGCTTTCCACATCGCAGTACAACAGCCGTTCAAACCACTCTGGTCACGCCTGTTGCTATACGAACTTGAACCATCTCGAGCATCATTTGCTCTGTGCTTCAAGTCGCTGCTGATGACGCTGCTTCCGACGTCAGTTTTTGGTATCTCTCTTCATCTGATGCCTACCCTTTGACCTGTCCAGCAAGGGAGGCCCTGCCAGTAGCTACACTACCGCTGGTATAGCTCTCAGGGTCCTTGGCATACTCAAACCCCCTCACCACGATAAGGTGGGGACACCAACGAGGGGGATTGTCAGATATAATGACATATATTTATAAGAAGCTGAAACTCATAGATTTCCAAAGCCAATAAGCTGTGAGGCATAATATCAAATGTGTGTATAATTACCATATCATTTTTAAGGCTGCTGGATGAAGTTACTTATTAAAGTCAGCTTGGTCCAAAAATGAAAATCAGTTGACCTGTTATGTTCACATTGCACATAACTGTTGGAAGAAGTTACAAATCAGTATTTATATCTTTTCCAGTCCTGATACTGCTGCTCCTTGTCTGCCTGCCTTAGTGTCATATCTCAATCACTTGCCTTCAGTTTCCTTAGTTCCAGTTCCTATTACCAAAGCCATTTGGTTTATCTTTGCAGTAAGTATACAGTGGATACTGTAAGTAAGCTTAGAATGGTAAATTTTATCCCGGTCGATAACCTGAAAAGAGAGCTGGGATAGTTTGGTTGGTATAATGATTGGCTATAGGTGTGTGCCAGGTGTTTGATTCCTGGCACGAGCAAGGTTTTTCTTTACGATGCAGTGCCCAGACTGGCTTTGGGGCCCACCCAGCCTCCTATCCAATGGATCCTGTTGGCCTCTTTCCCCAAGGATAATGCAGCCAGTGCATAAAGCTGACCACTCACCTCCATCTAGTGCCAAGGTTCAGAGTGGCAGAGCTAACTTCCACTCCCCAGTATGTCTTCATGGCATAATGCTTAATGAATTAAGGACAAGGAAAAAGTGGTAGTTGCAGGGAAGTTTGTAAACTGCTGAATTGGCTCTTCGTTTGTTATGCATGCCCCTTTGCAGTGTAGTTAGTATATTTTTGTATAGTGAAAGTAATTTTGTTTACAGTAAATAGATATGTAATGAAGCTTTCTCTATATTTCAAAATAAATACACCGTTTTAGAGACATACTGTTGTTTAATGCAAACACAGTAAAATTACACGTAAGTTTTAAGGTTTTCATGGCGATGGGTATTAGGATTGTTGTTTTCTGGGCTCTGAATCCATGTATTCTTGAAGGTGGATACCATTGTTTCTTAGGAATATGATGCTTTCTTCTTCGGGGTTGAAATCAGTAGGATGAGGATGTTGAGCTATATAGGTGGTTTGTAAGGAAGGTGGTCACTCAGACCCATGGGGTGTGGAGGTGGGCCCATTTCAGGCCAGCAGGAATGGTGAACGGGAAATCTGAGACAAAATATCCTTCTTCGAACAACAGTATTATCATCATCAGAAGAGGGGCAAGGGAAGTGGAAAATGAGAATGTTAGAGCAGGTAATTTGAGATACAAATAACTTAGATAGACTTGAAAGGATTCTAACGATGGTGTATACTGTACTCCCACTGACGGAACCGGTTGTCGGTTGTTCATAGGTTGTTTCTACAGATCAAGGTTTGTCCAGTGATTGAGACTAGCTCTTTCTAAGGGGCCCAACTGAGTAGGTTAAACCTTCCCTATACACCTGAAGACGGAGACAGATCCAGTCTCTGAAACGTTGTGGTTTTTGTCTTTTTATATACCGGACGATGGGTGAAGTCCAAAATAAGCCAAAAGAAGTACAAATAACTTAAGTGAGTATAGGTTGCTTTCATGTTTCAAGCTGTATCCTTGATGGAAGCAAGAGGTTTTAATGCCAGAACTGATTCTTATTGTATGAAGACAGAAATTCTTAAGTTGCTGTTAATAACTTACGTTAATGAAAAAATGAAGACTAGGTAAGATTCAAGAAATTCTTGGTACTGTTCAGTTCAAAATATTGTATATATTTTTTCTTCTATTTAAAAAGTAAAGATTAAAATACACATACAAAATTATGAGTTAATCATATTTTGTTGGAGGGCATGAAACTTAGTTTTCTGCTCTATTTATCCAGAATTTATTTAATTAAGAACACTGACACCATATCAGACTATATAGCATTAAATGTCAGTATGATTTAATGAATACTTAATTGGAAAGGATGTGGAAAGAAAGAGTCATAGTCTATTATTCTGACATTTGCCTGTAGGAACTGAAGAAAACTGTCTCACTCAGGATAGTTGATGTTCTCTGACAGTGTGATAAAACTCTGTCATATTTGATATATGTCATCAGGTATCATCACTGGCATGCTGCAGTCCAGTTCGTATGGCACGAGCAACAAGAGTCTTACTGGAGTTACTGGGGCAGCAGATCCAGTTAAGGAATGTGTACACCCATCACCCTGCTATGCTATACTGGGCGTTCTCATCTCCGTGGACTCATCCTTCAATACAAGCGGGAGTGGTATGTCACATGGCACCTGTTATTATTTATACTGATTTTTCTTCTGTTTGAATTGACCATTCATCTTTCTGCATGTGAAATTCCTCATGATACAGCAATGCTTGGTGCAATACAGATCCATGCTGGTCTCCAAATTGTAAGGACTGTGCAGTTGATAGGATCCTGTTTCAATCTGATTTTTCCGTGATCTGGCACGGCCTTAATTCTGCCATGTAGGCATACCGAGACATGTAGACTTCATTACTTTATCACGAATCTCAACTTTCCTTGAGAGGCATACAATTTTGTACACAATGTATAACCAAGAAAATTGGCTGAAACATTGATGTTTGTGACTTGTGTTAGAGAGGCTCTCAGTTAATTGTTAAATCAGATATTCACCGTAATGCACAATAGTGATGTTAGTGAAAGCGGACATATTTTGATGAGATCAAGTGTTGGTGTTCCACATTAACAGTTGTTGCGCAAGTTTAATTTTTGTGCATGTCTATCAGTTATAATGCTAGTTAATATTGTGATGTGATGCTGAAAGCCAGAATAGTGTAACGAGTAGAGGCTGTCATTAGTAGTCAGTAGCATTGTAAACACCTTTTAGCAGCAGCAGAAAGTGACCCAACAACACAGGACGCAGTATGTTCTGTGTGGTCTATGTCAAGGCTATATAACAAAGACTAGCATTGAGTTGCCTTGTTAACAGCCACGCCTAGCAGTGACTAGTGAACAAACAGAAGACTTTGTGTGTATTGCATTGAATAGAGTATGTAAATTAATGAGACTTTTTTAGTTATTTGTGGGGCACGTGGTAGCATAGTTGGTTGAGGCACTATGCTACAAGCCGGAGGGTGGCGGGTTCAAGTCCCAATGAGGTCATTGGATTTTTTCAATTGACCTAATCCTTCCAGCCCCACTATGGCCCTGGGATCTACTCAGCCTCTAACAGAAATGAGTGCCAGGTATATTCTTGGAATATTCTTGGGGGTAAAGGGCGGCTGGCATGTAGGGCTGATAACCTTGCCGCCATCTATAAGTCGACTGTCTAGAAAATGTGGGAACATGAACATCTCACAACTCTATGGGCGTCCACGGCCTGTTACAGGGATACCTTTACTTACTTTCCAGTTATTTGTACTTATGTGTTATCAGCATTCAGTAAATCCGACTATCAGTCCAAACCCTGTGTCTAGTCATTAATATGTGAAAATGTGATAACAATATTTCTCCAAAACTACTTCTCATACAACAAACTAGTACATGGTACAGAAATAAAGATATTAAGATTTACAATTTTTACTTGAAATGTCTGATGAATGATGAACACAAAATTTTAATCTTGTGGGCTGCCATATCTCTTTTCTTATAACTGAGTAACTTTCATTATACTTATCAGTAACCAATTATTGTTTGGTAGACTGAGCAGTACATTTTTTTTTCTTTTGAGCTACAGCCCCAATTTGGGCCTTGGTCTACCTCCATGAAATTCTCCATTTCACTTTGGTTTACTAGATCTTAGACATTTGGTAGGACTCCTTGGGCAGGTGATCAGCTCATCGCAAGGCCTCTACCTGTACACAGACACATAAAAACGCACACACATATACAAACACTAAACATCCATGTCCTGAGTGGGATTCAAACCACAATCCTGGCTTCCGAGCAAGTGAAGACAGTGCATGTCTTAGACCACTTGGCTACTGTGACTGGAGAGCAGTACCTTACTAAGCTACAATTAAATGACAGCATTATGATAAAATATAAGAATCAATATACATGCTTGTCTTTTTATAACGTTTAACACATTATAAGGTACTAGTTTCTGATTTTAGTGCTCTCTTTGTTAGATGACTCTGTGGCTGGAAGAAGATCAATCTGAATGCAGGAAGGATTTGATGGATTTGGTTTTGATGAATCATGATGCCAGTTGTTGCTTATTGGTGAGTGGTGGGTAATGTACATCCTGCATACATGCTGCTTCTTTCCCATAACAAATTGACTAATCATTCTCATTTTTAAGGATGACTCATTTTTAGATAGTAGGAACTGATCAACAGAATCAAAGGAGTATGTATGTATGTATGTATGGTTTTAGCGTTACTTTAAATTATGCCTTTTCATTCATAAGAATTTTGAAACTAGATAGTAAATTGTTAAAAATATCGATGCCAGTAGAATATTCACTTTTCTTGTTTCTTGTTTCTTGTGTTAACACTGTATAAGTGAATTAGTTTGAGAATGTTCTTTGTTATATACTGTCACGTGTGTGGTAGGCAACGCGACAAGAAATTTTGTGGGCTCCCGGATTTGAACCAATATTTATTGGACAATCACTTTTACACTCGCAAGTACAATTATTCTTCACTTATAGCGTCCTTTAGACGTCTCCTCTTCACTCTTATAATTACTTGCACTGCTGATCTTGGTGAAGTGTCTTCTGTCCTTTGTTGGATGCGAGGTTGCTTCTGCTCTAGTTGGAGCTACACTAAAAACTGACTGGTCTTATCGAAGCTCTACTTTTATAACGTGCACTCGAACTGAATAGAGTGCACCATGTTCAAGGGTTCGGTTTCGCCTGCTGTTACGCAATGAACACAGGAATACGTTAGCTGGTGTATTCTTTGCCATGGATATCCTTCCATCTCTGGGGTAACACATTTGTTGTTTAAGCTATTCCTAGGCAATGCCCTGCTGGTATTCTGTTCCCACTGAAGTATCATGTTTATCGCAGCCGTTGTCATGCAACTGCCTCGAACATTTTGTTGCTTAGGTTTGCTAGCATTCAGATTCCAAGGCATTGCAGTGGGAATGCTGGTCATTGCTTAGGAAATCATCTCTGATCTCCTCAACTATTCCGGCTTTCTGGCGCACGCCACAATATATTGAAGTTCATTAATGAAAGTATATCTTCACATGGAGCAGTGGATTTGAATACTACAGCAAGGAACATCTTATGCAGAGACAGTTTACTACTGAGATTATTGGCTCCAAATCATTGATACTGAGCATCAAGTGAGGAAAAATTTTAAACTGATGAACATTAAATGAGAGTGCCACTGCACATGGCAGTTTTAGCCTATTTTTCTTCTTTGTGAAAGATGGACTAGAGCGGAGGTTCTCAACTTTTGTCAGACCGCGGCCCGGTAAATTATTTTTCCTATAAGACGAGGGCCCTGTACAATTGATGCCCGGGCCCTGCTACCAGGTCACGCCCCACCGGTTGAGAAGCACTGGACTAGAGTATCACCATGTCCACATGTCTGGTCCAGACTTATACCTCCTGAACTAGCTGACAGATTTTGATAACAGTTGGCATAAACAACGGTACTACTTGAGCTCACCTCACCTTTGTAACATTAATAATAACAACCTCGTGGCTGTGTGAACTTCTCAAGTGGGAGCAACAATAGCACCATTTAATAAGATTTGGCATGGTAACATATCTTTTAAAAGTATGTAATTTTTGTTTCAACCTACTTACTGTAGGACGTAAGAAATGTGGCAGCTATATGATATCTGTATTTAGTTTTCTGTTTGATGGCAGTAACTAATGAACCATTGTGGCTACTCATGTACAATTTGATATTAAGATAAAGCATACAGATACCTATGAATTTTTTCCAGAACATTGTTTACATATCAACTATTAGAAAAATAACAGTGGTAAGAGACATTGAGGTTATATATAGCAAATTTACGATAAAGTATTGAAAAGCTGTGCACGAAGAAAGTATGCACACAAATGCATCAATAACTTAAGTTTAATTTCCATTTCATATTCCTCAGTTTCACATTTTCGTTCATTTAACTTTCAGTTTGCGAGCTGGAATAGCACAGTCGGTATAGTGACTAGCTACTGGCTGGACGACCAAGGGGTTGGAGTAGTACCAGTGAGGTTAAGAATTTTCACTCCTCCACATCGTCCAGACCAGCTCTGGGGTCCACCCAACCTCCTATCCAATGGGTACTGGGGGCTCTTTCCTTGGGGGTAAAGCAACCAGGGTGTGAAGCTGACCACTCACCTCCAACTGGAGCCGAGGTCAAGAAAATGTGGGTCTATACATTCACTCCCTTATACGCCTTCATGGCATAGTGCTTACTTAGTTAAGCACAGGGACAACTCTACCTTTTACCTTTAACTTTCAGTTTAAATGATCCAAGGTCAATAATCTAAGTGTTAAATTTCCTCCATTTAAGATTTTCCTCAGTTGAATTTTCAAATCAGGTGCTTTTCAAGGAAACCCTAGTTTTAACGCATACAGCAACCAAAAATAACATGATGTTGTAAGACCAAAGAACTGCAAATGTATCGTAAGCGCAAGCTCGTGTATGTGCGTTTTCTGTTCAGCCCACTTTCATTTATATTTAAATATGTATACATGCTCATTAAACATTTTTAATTTGTTGTTAAATTCTTAGGAATTGATGCAATTTGGGAAGCTTCTAATAGTGAAAAGAGCTATGCAAGTTATGGAAGATGCTATATTACATCAATTCCAGGAAGGTAATGATGGGTTGATTCAGACCCTATGGGACATAATACCACAAGCCTTAGCAAGATTCGGCACTAATAACAGTTCATTGCAAGGTAAGGCTTTCTGTTTCTTGGTTTTTGTTTTATTGTAAAAGATAAAATAACTCCATCCAGTGTGACTGTTGAAGTTTTTACTACTTCAATTCTTAACACCCTTACATGTTTTGGTCCCTATTGAACATCACCAGAGGGGCATCGATACTCTTTGGAAACCGCTATTACAATGGGTGTTCTGAATGTTAAAATATATACACATACAATGTTTGTAATGCACAATATATACAAAATCCAAAGCTTTCACAACTACAGCGGCCGTCTTGGTATATCAAAGTTTTTAAAACTTTTGTTATTTATGATTTGTTTCATTCTGGTCCGTCACACTAACAATTACAAATATAAATCACTCCGTCCAATGTGACCTGTAAGTTTTTTACTACATGAAAACTTAACACCCTTACATG